AAACGCTGGACGTCTGTGACGTCAAGAAACGCGCGGGAAAAAATTCAAAATCCGTCCTAGACAGCTATCAGGAGTAGCCAGCAAGGTCGAAGTCAACAACAAAAGGATGGCTACTGTTATGTCTAATTGAACGAGAGAGGAAGGGGTGCAAACCGCGCGCGCGCGCACACACACACACACGCACAAGTGTGGTAGGAAGGGAGGAAAACTCGTGCGCGCGTAAAATGTTGGTGGAATTACTGTGTTATTCAACAATGGGATACCGTTGGTTTAAGGATTCTTTTTTTCATGAATCTAGCATAATGCTGTACGGGGTTTTATTTTGCTATTCAGTTGTGTGTGGTTTTATTCTGCTTTTCTGCTGTACGGGGTTTTATTCTGCTATTCTCTTGTGTAAGGTTTTATTCTGATATTCTGTTGTGTTGGTTTTTATTCTGATATTCTGTTGTGTTGTGTTTTATTCTGCTTTTCTGTTTGTGGGGGTTTATTCTGCTTTTCTGTTGTGTACGGTTTTATTTTGACATTCTGTTGTGCGGGTCGATATTCTGCTTTTCTGGTTTTAATTCTTCTAATTTTTTTATTTTGTCATTCTATTGTTTTCATTCTGAAATTTTGTTTTGTTTTCAATTCTGTTATTCTATTAGAATGTTATGACTGTTTACTGATACGTTATCGACGCGGATCACTTCATAAACTCAGAACAATTCAATGGACAAATATCAGAACAATTATTGTGGGAATGAATCGAGCCGAGGACTTTTCAACATACCATCGTATTTTTAATTATTGATTTTATTTTTAACTTCTGCTATTCTGTTTAAAATGACCCGATTAAAAATAGTAGTAAAATTATTTAACCCATATTATCCTGGCGTCAGTTTAAACTGACACCTTTTCCCCTATATTGCGTCCATTTTGCTTATATTTCAGGTTTTCTTGTTTTCATATTAAAAGCTGGAAAATTTTCCAACATATTTCAGTGAAATTTTCACTCGGTAAATGTTGTAGTTTATAATTAAGTGTAAAAAGGGATGAGTCAGTTTAAATTGACGCCAGGAAGATATGTCGATAAAATATGGTATTCTAGTCATTATTCTTTATTTTTATCATTTTAATGGATGATTTTGTTTCAGTTCCGGCATTTTGTTGATTGTTTATTCCTGTTTTTATTTCTGTTCTCCATGGCGATTTTTTTCTTGTCCGGTTCTTTTTTTTCCCTGTGGTTTTCTCTTGCTTGTAGCAGACGTTAAACCTTTTCGTTAGACACACATGCGTTGATAATCCTATCAGCAGCAGCAACCCTTTTTCAATTTTTGGACATGTGCAAAAAGAAAAAGCTGGGAGCATGTGTGCTGTGAATCCCAAGAGGCTAGCTCTCTTTCACTTCGGGTCGAGATGGGGCTAAAATTAGCGCTCCGTGCCATAGAAGCATATGGCGGAGATAATACTCTGGACTCACTCTTTAATTCTCCAACAGACTAAGTTTAACTTTTCTTTCATTCTTTACTGTTGAGAAAGTTCCTTGAATTCGCACTTTTTTCAGGAATTTTTCTCAGAATTTTCTTTACATGAAAATGTTCCCAATAGAATAAAAATTTCTATCTCATTGTCGGTCTATTTTCTCAACCCTTCAACTTTTTGTTCGTCAACAGACACCTTGTTAACTTCAACGCTAACCGCTAACCTAATAACAACAATCTTCAACAGTTTGTCATTATTTCAATTGGTTTTCTCTTCTGTGTCATTATTCAGATGTATTTTTAGATTTTTCATATAATTAATAAATGTTTGCTTGCTCTATTTTACTGTAGTTCATTTAAAAATATCTTATATTACCTAATTTACTAAGCGTAGGTTATGTATGACACAACCCACAAGTATGTGGTACCCAGTAAGGATCGAACTCACTTCTCAATTGTAATCAATTAGCGAGGCAAGTGTGCAAACCATTATATTAGTGCCCAAATATGTGCTTTCTTTTTAAACTTTTCATTACAATCTGTTTTACTAAAGTAAAGTACAAATGAAAAAGAATCTAAATTTCGATTTTGCAAGACTTTAAGGGTAAACTTTTTAGTTAACAACAGTCGAAAAGCTTTTGTTTGAAACAATTCTACGGTTGTTTTGTAAGTAGCCTTCAGGTGAATTCAATGTTGGACATCACTTCAATAGATATAAAATAGATGATTCCCAAAATCTCGTGTCAACGAATCAAATCTCGTAAACGAGATGTTGGTTTTGCTCATGCCTAAAATTCAATTAGTTTTTGCCATAGCGCGAGTTGGAATCATAATCCTTGAGATTTGTCAATACCAATATAGAGAAGGTCATTTTATCTCGGAATTAAACGCATTTTTTTTCTTTTAATAATTTTAGAATATTCTGAGAGTTAAACGAAATTGACAATAGCAAATATACGGAAACGTTCGTTTGTCCAAACAATACCGGGTTTACAACATGTTTATCCGTTATGAAATAGGAAAACAGATTTCTCCATTTGTTAAACCGTCAAGTTGAAACGCTTCGTGTTCTTAAGAAAATGCTGTAAACAACAAGCTGAACAGCTTCGTTGAGTGTAAGAGTTTTCAATGGTGTATAAAAGATCTGGCACACAAGGTACGTATAATTTTAATATCAGTCGGTTAGATGCTACTGAAAGTCAATTCTTTGTTATTGCTCAAAGTTTAACCCCTACGCCTACTTGGGATGGAAAAGGAAAGTGTTTATTTTTTTTAAAATCTACCACGTAATTAAACTTTCTTTCATATTTATTGTCTATCCAATCCTAATCGACTTTATAGTGGAAATCGGCATATCATTGGTCTCTTGATAAAAATAACGAAATACAGGATGTAAATAAACGATTTTAACCAAATATTCTGATTTTATTTTTTACAAATTTATTAAACTCGAAAGTATCGTGGATTTTACAACTAATAGTGATATTTATTTTTTTTCGAAATACTTGACTTTTCCTCGCTGCAATCACGACTATTATTTAAAATAACTTACAGAAATATAATGAAACGAAAGAAAAATTTCTATTCTCAACATTTGATTATTAAACAAATATAATATTACTATCATCATTTAACTTATTTATTTATTGCGAAGTGGGGGGGGGTAATATTGGGTTGACCAAAATGTACGTTTTGTTTATAAAGTAAATGTTTACTTAATAAGCAAACTTTTGGTCAACTCAATGCACCTCTAGAGCAGTGATTTTTTTTGTTTTTTTTTAACTAAGGTACCGTGAGAGGATCGTAGGTGTGCCACAAAAATATCCAAAGGTTATTAATTAAATTATTTTCGGAAGAAGTTCAAAGTACAATAAGTGTACGGTCTGTGTACGTATCAAAATAAAAAATTAAAATCCATTTTTTTATACGAACAGGGCCGATGTGTACTACACCCGAACCCTCAATCGAGGAAGGTGGGGAGGGTAGCCTTATTCGAGACCCAAGCAGTGTTTTTTGACCCTCACAATCTTCTCAACATTTGCTTTTTTTTTTTCTTACCTACAAATATGTAAGTTACAAATTCACAACTGACAATTAAACGATGAAAAAATTTCGTTGATTTCGACGTCATTCTAGTGGGGGGGGGCATTGTTTTGCTTTGTTTTTTTTGTTGTTTTTTGTTTTGTTTTTCGTCTAAATCCGTGAATTTGTTTTGCTCATGCAAAGTCTCGGAATGACACAATATTAAATTCACTATTTTTTTATCCATATCAACTTCTTCAAATAAAAAATCTGAAGCTGATTGTAAAAATTGCCGCAAAACATTGCTGATTTATTTAAGATGAAATGATCTATTATGGGATGTCTCTAATTTGTATTTGGATACATCGTGTGACACTTAGGCCATGAAGTGGCTAATGTTAAGTATAAACTGAGAGAAAGTGGCGGGGAAGACATTTTCCCTGTTGGCGGGAAGTAAAAAAAGGGGCCATCTGGATTGTTTCGCCCTTACGAATTGGAACGATGCACCAAGAGTTTATTTTTTTTATCTATCGAGAATCAGGAATTGATAAATAATTTTATCTCTTCCTTGAGAATTTAAGAAAGCAAATATCGTTAACGAGGACACGGATAGGGCTGGGTTCTATTTTCGTGAACTAAAACGGATTAAGAAATAATTTTATCTCTCATTCGATAGGTTAAGTAACAAATAATTTTTCTTATGGGTCGGGTGTATGATTAAGGCGGGAGTTCTGAATCAGCGGGCAAGAGGATAAGTTTGGTTTATATTTTCACTAGACAGAGATAAGTCCAGGGAAATATAAAGGAATCAGTGAATTAAAATTAATGACTCGAATAAAACACCGTCCCTTGGCCGATGCGCATTAAAAATTAGATTTGCCTCAAAGACAGATTGAGGCTGAATGCTAAGAGGGTAGGAGAAAGAAGGAGAATTTAACATCACTTGTATAGAGATATAAATTGGTGTTGAGTGGAGGAGTGATCCTTGTGACTACTCCTAAGGAAGGTGGATAATTCTCCAAATTTGGAAAACTGATCAAGGAAGCATGAATAGGGCACAAAGAACCCTTGTTGGGATTAATGGGAAAATTGGGGAGTCACCGAATCCCTAGGACTGTCGGCCCCAAGCCGGTTTGGGGGCCGAAGTGCATATAAACAAATAGCTTCCAGAGCTCGAAGATTTGCGCGGCAAATTCCCACATCAAGTGCCTCTGGAATCCACGTAGGGCTGCCACCAGATCTCCTGACTTTGAAGAACTTTGAACTCAGCTCCTCCAGAATTTTTGAACCAGTGTCATTATAGCCATTGATGCGGGAAGGGTTAATTTTTGTTGTACCAAGAACTACATAAACCAATTGAAGATTAATCCAACGAATCTTTCATTTTATTATTCGTTGTGAAGATATTTCTTCCCTAAATATAGCTTCCCGCCAAGGCTCGACGCAGCGTTTCGATTACAATATTCGATGTTCCCCTGCTATGAGGTCAAGAATACATCCAATTTTAAACCTAACACCATACCTAGTATTCCCAAATGGTCACCCATCTAGCTACTGACCAGGCTCAACGTCGCTTAACTTCGGTGATCGTACGGTAACCGGCTTTTCCAACGTGATCTGGCCTCAGATTACTCAATATAAAACCTTCCAGATCACGAATGTTTTTGCTTACATATATAAATTTTATAAAAGTTAAGAGAGTGTGCAGTTTGCTATTTAAATTAATTCTCCTACGGAAGCCAAAACAAAATATGCTCATTCACTCCGTTTCCAAGCAGCTACGATACGAAATAGCGTTTAATCATTTATTTTTCAAAACTGTTTTTCATATATTATTATTGATTAAACACTCCAGATTGTATAATATAAACTGTCCTGGGTAAGACGATAAACTACATCCGACAGCAAGGCCTTTGGTCTGGAGGTTTTGAGTAGCATGTGCCTGAGCAACCGTCTGTCTCTTAATTGCTAGTGATCCCAGGCCCACTCTGAACTGGGGTGGTAGTACCTGTCAGGGTCCAAGCTATGGGCAAATAGTTAACCCCACCAAAAGGGGTCAAAACACTATGAAAGTGTAAAAATAGGTTTTAATACTAGCAATACATTTTTGAAAAAAATATTAAGAGCAATAAAAATTTTGTCGCCATTAAATAACCCATTGAGGTTGATATGCCGTAAAACAACAAAACAAACCAAAACATGAAAATGTTTATTTTAAGAAATTCCCTGGGTGTAAGCATTTTTTTTTTTTTGGTGGGGGGGTCCATAGGTAAGTCAATTTACAATGAATTTACTTAGCAAACAAAACCCTCTTATTAACTTTTATAATTTTTTTTTATATTTATACGTAATCTATAGTTATATGGGAAAACGAATGAAAAAATGATTATTTCTGGTCTCAATGCAAATTCTATTAGGTTGGTGCAAAAATAATGACGTAATAATGTCGTTTTTTGACGTATTGTTTAACGTCAAAAAACGACATTATTACGTCATTATTTTTGCATCAACCTAATTAATACTCCACCATTTTCTCCAATAATATTTACTAACTTTTCCATATTTACAAATTATCTGTAAACTTACTAAACATTTATAAAGTCGAACCTGGAAAAATTCTGTATTATTTTGTTTTTAAAAATCTCTTTACCTGCCGACACCATAAAATAATTACTGCCAAAGTATTTGGTTATTATTCCTTTGTCTTTTAGAGTTATCTCCCTTTTTTTCTCTTTGTCTGTCCTGATGATTGGGTTTAAGCAGCAACACTTCTCAAATACTTATTCCTCGATTGACACGTTATTTCTTATCAAGAATTTTCTACAATATTTTCATTTCTTTCATTATTTCTATGGTGTATGACATTTTTAAACCTCTGAGCACTTACTTCAAAATATATTCATCTCTAACATCCTGATTTTTCTTGACTCTATGACAACGTTTCTCCGACCTCAAGTGATTGTCAATTCCAGTAATCTCCATTTGGGGAAAATATGATTACTAGATGGGACATACATCTGAGGAAGACCGGAGATTGCACCGATCGAAAAGTTGTAACCCGGATATCGCCATTCAGACACTACGCATTCATTTTTTATGTGGGAATTATTTGAAAAGGCTCTTTTACCACAGGGATTTGACGGAGTTATATATATATATATATATATATATATATATATATATATATAATTACTTCTTTTTATCTAGCTTTCATTTGAGCTTCTTTAATCAAACTTTTGAGGATTGAAAGGATTTTCAGTTAACTAATTGTTGGGTCTTGATGTTCTCAAGCTACTGCTTCAATAATGTTTTCTCTAGATAACGTCAATTTTGCTTGGAATATAATTGATTAAAATCTTTACTTCTTGCAGATATATCCATGATTATAAGTTCCGTAATTTTTGGGACGTGTGATGACTATCAAAAACAATTTAGTTTTTACATATTTCTCTTTGCTAAATACTGAATTTTAATTTACCGAATCTAGAACTTTACCTGTTCAATATTCGTCTGGGATGTACAGGTGGTGCAATGGATAGGGGTTCCGAATGAAAATTAGTGCCGAGTTCGAATTTCAGGCGGGTTTGTTACATATACTTATTGGCAAAAGATATTTAACCATCTCCTTCCCCCAGGTATGGGTTAAATATTAGGACTTGCATCTGTAAAAATGACTGTTATTCTCCAAGAAATTGTTAATGCTATAGTCACTCACAAAAAAGAATTCTTCTTGCTATACAAAATATGTTTCATCTTTAATGACCCACAAAGGGTTGATAAACCGTAAGAAACAAATCAATCTATGTTAGGTTGTTCACTTAAATGTAAATAATTTCATTTTTCTCCTTCCGTAGAATAAATTATCCTCACAGAATTCGTCAATATGTCATTCATCACCTGTCAAGTGAGGCGAAAGTTTATGACCTGCTTTGTTTTATTTTCAAATTACATCTTTTCGGCGCAGAAGCTAAGTTAAGCTTGGTTCAAAATATTTTAAATAAATATTATAATTTCTGATTTTCTTAAAATAAGTTTTAAAAAAATGATAATTGATATTTAAAAGAATTTCAAAGTTAGATTTTCATTTTTTTTATAAAATGAAAAAAAAATGGTTGCCATCTGTCAATTTTGCTGACTCAAAAAAAAACAAGATTTTTAACGAAAATTTCGGACGTGCTAGGAACGATTAAAAAATGTAAAAAAAAAATACCCCCAAAATACTTTTGATCTTTCCTCTTAATAATAACAAACATTTAGACGATAAAATTTTGTTTTTGTCAAGTTTACCGACTTTTTCATCATGCTATGCTCTTTTTTTTTTTTTTTTTTTTTTTTTTTTTTAGCGATCTCATGGGGGTACCTAATCTCTCTCGATCTTTGACCATTTTTGACGTTAATATATATATATATATATATATATATATATATAGTTGATGTCGATAGCCTCTTCGCTCTAAATATATCGACGCACTTAACCCTTTAGATTCTCAATATAGGACTTTTGAAATCTTATTGAAAATGACATCTTTCAATCAATCAATGGGTTAACACTCCTGAGGCATGACGACGATCAGCACACAAGTCTATAAGATAACTGCTAGCGTAGCCGGTTCGATCATTACTCCGAGTTTCATACGTATGCAGTGGCGTATCGAGGGTATAGCAATTACTGCATATGCCATTGAACACATAATTTGTTGAGCAATATTGTATAGCTGGCCACTCGCATTCGAGGATACCCGTATACTGGGGAGGCTAGCCTATCCCTATTACAGTTATATTTGTTCAACACCCACAGAGCCCACCTGTGGTTTATATTGCATCTATACTGAGCTTACCTGTTTACAGCGTCTGGGAGAGAGCGTGTTATGCGTGATCAACACGATGACTTGTGGCTTTGTGCTGGCGCTGCTATAGACGACGACTCTCAAGAGTTCCGTCTCCCCAATTTCCATTCACAAGGTCAACCCATGGTTTGATTTTCAGGCACTTTCCAAAAATGTACCGCACCCTGAGATCGACCTTGATCCATTGCGATAACATCAGGAAATCTACTTTCTAACAAATCGACCATGGTGAGATTCGAACCCGGTTCTTATGTTGTCCTGGGTATGACGTTAAACTGCATCCAACAGCAAGGCCTCTGATCGGGAAGTTTTGAGGAGCATGGAACCAGCTCTTAATTGCTGGTGTTCCCAGGTCCACTCTGACCCGGCGTGGTAGCACCTGTTAGTGTCCCAGCTATGGGCAAATAGTGAATTCCCATTTTTTCCCAGCATACATCCGCGTCCTGGGTATGGCGATAAACTACGTCCAAAACTAATGTTGCCAGCTATACATTTTTGAAAAAATGATGTTGCCAGCTATACGTTTTTAGTATAATATATATATATATATATATATATATATATATATATATAAACTAAATTTGGCATTAACTGATCTACAGTTGTTGATATGCCATAAAACCCAACCAACCAACCGGGTCTTATGAAAGCGAACCTCTCGGTCACGCAAACATATATATATATATATATATATATATATATATATATATATATATATATATATGGTTTCTTTTATATATAATGCATTTTCATATTATTATTCATATTATAATATTCTAATACTGAAGATGCATATTATAATGCATCTTCAGTATTAGAACAAAGACATGATCATACATGGCATGTTCATCTGTACAGCTGGCCACTCATATCCGATGATACCCGTCTACTAGTACGGATAGCCAATCCCTATTGCAGACGGTTGCTCAGGCACATTTGTGTTTATTCAACACCCACAAACCCCACCTGTGGTTTATGCTGCAACTATGTTAAGCAGACCTTAGTTACAGTTTCTGGGAAAGAGCGTGTTATCTAGCATGATCAACAATTTGAACAAGGCCAGCACAGCCACAATGACGTACGACTTCGTGCTTGCTTCCGTCTACCCAATTTCACTCACAAGATTTGGGTCAATCCAGGCACTTTCGGGAAATTTCGAACCGAACTCTTTATCCAGGATTCAGAATTTCTTAAAGGTAAAAGGTACCATCTACAACACACCTGAAGAAGGCTTGACGGTACAACGACCGAAACGTTGGGACTATAAAATGAGAACACAAGACAGTAAATCAGTCTTGTGATAATTCCTCGTCTCAAAAAATTCCCTGTTAATCAGAAACGTGATCCGATGACAACTCTGAAATTTCACCATAAAAAAAGCAATTTCTCTACTGACGCCTCTTCGAATCATTCGTTCAACTTTCATTGAAGATCTTTGCTTATCAATTTTCCATATCACATCTGATATTTAAGCGAATGTCGAAAAAAGAAGTTAATGATCTCCTCCGGTGATGCTTTAATCTAACGAAATAAATTCCATTTTTTTTTCCTTGTGACTTCGAATCTTCTGACGTTGACTTAATAATTGAACTTCCTATAAGTTCAAATAAGTGCATCTTTCAAACATTTATTTTTAAATTACATGAGAATCTCTTTTCACCATATATTTTTAAAATAAGGTATTTGAAAAATGACTGTCCTCTTTCAAACACGGCAGATTATATTTAAATCTGCCATCAAAAGAATTGTTTCAGATTTAATTTCTAAGTAAAAGGTTAG